CTTTGTCAATGTGTGGTAACCAGCACAGAGCTGGTGAGTGAAGCTGAGGAGCCTGCAGGTCATGAAATGTTGTGATGACTCAGAACGAGATGAACGCTGATAGTTATTGAATCAGGCTGCCGTAAATAACTGAAGTGACAAACAGGTCAGAGCACTGGAACACAAACACTCTCAGTCACATCTCACTTCAAGTGTGTGAGTTTATTAACTACTCTCATTTCTACTCCCTCTCTCAGCTCATAACTCTTCTTCTTTCTTACTTCCTCTCTCGTCCTCCCTTCCTTCTTTCCTTCCTTCCTCTCTTTCTCACTTTCTTTCATAGTTCCTCTTTACTCTCCCCTCCTGCCTTCTCTTTCTCCCTTATTTTTCTTTTTGTCTTCCTCTTTCTCTCCTTCCTTCACTCTCTCTCTCTCCCTTCCTACCTTCCTTCCTTCATTCCTTCCGTCTTTCCTTCCTTCTGTCCTTCCTCTCTCTTTCTTTTTTCCTCTCTCTCTCCCTTCCTATCTTTCTTTTCTTTCTCTCTCCCATCCATCACCACTTTTTAACAAAAGGTGTTGGTCTATTAAAGGTTTCTTCAATCAGATCATATGTAACTTCTTTCTTTCTCTCTTTCATCCATCCCCATGCTAACAAACAGTGTAAGTCAATTGAAGGTTTCCTCAGGCCCTTCCTATTGTCTGGCCGTGCTTATATAAACCAGACAGCACTGGCTGACCGCACACTCAAACTAGAATAGGGCCTGATTCCATTCTGAAACACTCTCTCTTCAGTTCCTGTCACCTAAGCATTAAGAATTTGTTGTGTTCCTCCAGACAGAACGGTCAAATCAAGGATATTCTCACACCGTCTTACACAGCTATCCTGATGTCTTGTATCTTCATCCGGCCTGATGTGCAACATATTTTGTATTCCTGTTTTCTTGTTATTTCCTTTCAACCCTCACAATTTCTTTGAACCGATTTCTGAGCAGAGCAATTCCCCAGCTCCTGCTTTTAACAATGGGCTTTACCTTCCCAGCCTGACGCTCGCTCCTGTGAAACCACATTTGTCAAAGAAAAGTGAAAAAGAAACCACAAATGAAGGACGAGAACATTGGTTGCTTGTGTGTATGTGCATGCAAATTGAATTGTTGTAGTTGAAAAGTAGCAGGTGAAGCACAAACAGAAAAGGAAAAGTTGGCTATATGGGAATGTGGCTTTGAAAAAGTCCATGTAACCAGGGGGGAAACGGACTTTGCCATTGTGCAGCTGTAAAAACAAACAGTCATCCCATGTCGGGACAAGAAAGAATCACAACGCAGCGCCAGTCTGAGAGGAACAGTAAATAGTGAAGTCCGGGCCAAACTGGTGGGAGCCCCGTATAAATTATTAACCCGGTGCAGGGTGGGCACTAGAACAAATTAAGTTCACAATAAAGTGTGGAAATAAGGAAGTTGTGTGTGATCAATGATTGCTAATGAATAGAGTGTAGTTAATTATATAGTTACATGGGTTCTGGTGGGTTCATTATACTCACAGGAAATGGAGCTGTCTCTCCAAACACAAGCATAAACATGATTCAGGTGAGTGGGCCTTTGGAAATGACCTGACAAAGTAAACCCAACAGCACTCGGCTCCCGTCTCTGCCAAACCGTTTTGAAGGTGAGGAAACAGATGTATACTTTTTACAACCATTATCAGGAGCGGAAAAGTGGACAGTTTGAGGACTATCCGATGTTGCCCAACTCTGTCTCCAGGGACAATATCCAACATGGCGCTCCTAATCAAAGGTCTAATCTTAGTAATCAGTCTCACTATCTTATCTTACAAGTGCACCCTCTTTCCCAACAGCCATTCATAATTCTTTATTGGTTGAAGAGGAATCATGTCTGTTGGCAAAAAAACGTGAGTCGCTAAGAGACAATGTTTGAGCAGAAGTTCAAGCGGCAGAAAACTGGCAAGCTACTAAAACCACGAGGTTCAAATGCTAAATAGTCAACTAGAATTGTAAAGAGTCCTCAAATGATCCGCCTTGAAGCTAAACGGTGTTTGTCTCTCATGGATAACAATCTTACAGTGGCTCGAGGCTAAGTCTGAAATACATTCCCTCTTCCTTTAGCCCTCATTAGATATCATCTCCTCATGAGCACAGTCCTCTTCGTGTGCGTGCAGGGAGGAGTTTTTGTAGATAAGGACTCTTTGTCAACAGAAGGTGGGACTGATTTGAGCTCTGGCTTGTCCCCAGCTTCTGTAGTGTTGCCAGTTTTGCCTGAAGGGGGGTGGGCTCTCCTCCAGTCCCCCATAAACATGACAGGCTGACTGGCCGAAAGGCTGACATCCATCAGCTGAAGTGTCAAACCAAGAGCTTCCTCTGGTGTGTGTAGCGAGGCAAAAGAGCGCTTTCTAACATATCACTCTCACCAGTCACGTCTAATTGTGTTTTGAGACAGATCTCACTGACGGTCTTTTTTCTGAAGCTGTTCTAGTTTAGTCAGGGATGCACAATTGCTCAGATTTCACAGGATGATATTGGACTGAAAGTGAAACAGATTTAGGCTACATCCATACTGAAACAATGGACAAGTGATCTCTGTCCACACAAGTGTTTTAGCTCATGTATCAGCAATATTCCCCGTCCATGCTAACCCACCTGAACTTATATCACATGACCAGTCAGGTACACTGGGCATGTGTGTGCAGGTGTAAAAGAGAAGCAGATATTTCTCCTCTACAGCCGGTCGCACACTTACAGCAAACACCACGAACTGAATACAGCAATGAAAATATAAATCTAAATACTGACTCATCTTGAAGTGCAATCTAATCATGTGCAATATTTTACAGATGCTCCTGATATGATGCTCTTATCATGCTGCTTTATCTTTCTCACTGTCATTTATTATTTATGAATGTGGACAGGTGAGTGCAGGAATGTGTGTATGCATGGATCGGTGCTGCACAGCAAATTCCGTTTTTCTGTTTCGTGCAACGACGATAAAGCTTTCTGATTCTGACTCTGGGGCCGATGATGAAGAGCTGTTAGTGACAGTGTTTACAACATCTTGCCTTCACTGCTGGTAGTCGAGGTGTCGACCAGATTAACCAAACAGGAAGCAAATGTGGGTGACAGCGTCACTGTTTTCAAAACATCTCCATATTTGCTCATGCATTCTACAGCACAGCCACAGAGTTTTCAAACAAAAAAGCACCGGCTGCATTTCCAAACTTTCCACATTTTAGAGCTTGAAAATTCCGGCATCCTGTGTATCCTCTGACCACTAGGAATGCTATGGAACAATGGTTTCATGAGAGGGTCCCTGCTTGGTTTGCATCATATTTAAAGATGGATGACACGTCAGCTTCCAAAAGTGAAGCCAAACCATGGACCTGTCGGCTGGTTGGTGGTACAGGTCACTTATCCCACATCCTCCATGTTAATGGATGGGAAATTGACCGAACTAAAGTACACATCAAATACTACTTTCTCAAAGAGGGTTTCTTTTATTTTATATTTTCATATTTACATATATCACAGTGATATATGTGCAGGGGCAAATTTTTCTAGTAAGTTTGGTTTTAACAATGATGATGACGTTGATTGATGATTGAGAGATCCCCGTTCCATCCCGATGGCTACTGCGCAAACTCCGGCTCCAAATGCACAAGATGGTAGCGTTCAATGGCATCAACAGTTGCTGGCAGTATTGTGCACAGACATGTTGTACTGACATCATTAAAAGCTTCAAATATTTTATGAGGAAAAAATTAAAGTGCACCTGTGGTTTTTGTGTCAAACACAGAATGTAAACTATTCTTCCCAAAAAGTCAGCAGCGCAGCTTTGAAATTTGACTAACATAAAAGTTGCATAATAAAACGGAACTAAAATGTATAAGTTCACAGCTTTATGGCTTTTTTCTTAACCATACGTCAGATTTTTGTGACACATGGCACAGCATCTTTACACAGAGGAAATCAAACTGAATGTAATGTCCTATACAAGATGTCAGTATAATTCCTTTCTAATTTTCTCACACATGATGAAAATTTGTTACACAACTCCTCTGGCAGCTGCTTTAATGTTGCTACTGAAAAATATATGTCTGATTATCATAAATATACAACCCATACACACACACATTCATCACTGTGGTGGACCACAGAGGACTGAACAAATGCTAATGTGCCCAGCAGCTTTATTACTTGGTACCAGAGCTGATGATGATGATCCTGCTTTTGGGGTCCAGCGGGACTGTACCTGCAGCAGAACAACTGCAGAATTATCTCCAAGCAAACACTGGAAGACAAATCTGCAAAGTAGTCATCCACCAACTGGCTGTGAACCACAGAGGGAGGAAAGAAAAAAACAAGACGTCTAGCAGTTCAACCTCAGGGCTTGCTGCAATTTCCGTTGCAGCCTCTTTATGCAAACGCACTGCAAGTTTTTCCTCAGCATTTATCATTTCACATTACTTAGAGGTTGACAGCCAGACAGACAGACAGACAGACAGACATCACAGTTGCTCAACATTTAATGAAACGCTGTAATTCCCAAGGAAGGAAGGAAAGCCAAACATGGGCAGATGACATTTCCTTTCCTGCAGCTAAACTGTAAAAAAAGTCATGAGGTGTAAACAAAGCAAAATGTCCAACGAGGTTGGAACACAACTTGACATACGCCAATAACAAAGCTGATGTTTAAGTAGTTTCGGGGAACTGCCACTTGGAGGCAAATATTCAGAGCGAAACCGGAAAGTGGCAGCATTAGCAGCTTTAAGCACTCTTTGTCCCACATCAGAATAAAAAAAGCAGGGGTGGAGCTGAACAGGGCCATGCATGGCTCCCCCAGGGTGTGAGCTGGATTGTGATGTAGATGTAGTCTGCTTTTGCATCCTGTGCACAGTGCAAAACAGTGCTGTGATGAGGATGCAGGGTTTTGGTAAAATATAAAATAACCTCTACTCTTTTTGCAGAAATATTTAAAAGGTCACAGTCGTTCCTTAAAAAAAATTAAAAATAAAAACTTTACTGTTCAAATATAGATTTATTTCCATTTTCCTTCATACAAACATATTTTATCCAAAAAATAAACTGTTGAAAGGGATGAATCGGTTAAAAGTGCACAGTCGTGGCTAATGAGCCGTGTCCACAACATAGTCACAGAGTGGGTAAAGCTGTGGGATGATCAGTTGTAAAGCATAAGAGGGGAGATCCTCCACATTGATACACGGTTCAGAAAAGCTAGTCATTTCTTGTCCAGTCTGTATTGGTGTCCAACACCTGAGTTGTACAGGAGGAAGCTCTTCTCATCAGGTAGAAGTACATCACAGGGGTTTTGCTCCTGTGTGCAAAGACTCATTGGATTAGAAAGATAATTATGGACAATTTCATTCTCACTTAATCTATTAAAACAGACCAGACTGCAGCTCCGGATATATCCATGAAGTCACTGAAGGTTGGGTTGAGTGTAAAACCTCAGTTCTCTTATAGAAAAAGAAGGAAATGTATCACCAGGGCTCACTTTAATGCTAACTAACCTTTGTTTTGACACTTTTGATGAAGTTCACTAATGCACTTAAGACCAGAACAAGTATCACCCCCAGATGCCAGAACTTTTCCTCCAACATCTGTTTGCAGTGTGGCGTACACACTCATGGTCACAGTTGTTTTAATGAAGGCATGGATGTTCCCTCACCAACTCACGTGCCTCGTGTGTCAACCTTTTCCTCTGAATCATCCACTCTCAGTTGACGAAGTGCTCCTCTTTGATTTCATGTGTTGCGTTCAGGTGGTTGGCCAGCTCTTGCATCACGGCATCTTTCCCGATCTGATCGTTCCTCCTCTTTTCCATGATCACGTCCTCCAGGCTCTGGAACTCCAGGACGTGATGCTGCTTCTCAGAGAACAGTAGTTTCAGTCTGTACGGCTGCTTCCCGATCCTAATCTCCCCTCCGATTTTGAACTCCCTTTTGCCAAAGCGGCACCAGGCGGCAAAACACTCAGAGTTTCTCCAGTACAGCTCCTGGTCTCTGCACCCCACATAGTCCCGGGCGTTGCGCACGATCACCTCCGGCGGGAGCGCACGGTACCTGTAGAGGCCGTTCACTATCCTACCTTTTTTACCCTGGCTGACATCGGTGAGGAAGTTGTTCTTGATCTCCGCCCGGTGCAAATGAATCACCTGGAAGTCCCCGACGTACACAGCCCAGTGTGGGTACTGTCCTGTGGTCACGAACTCCAGCAGGTCCCCGGGTCTGCACTTGTTCAGGAGACTCTCCGCAGTGTGCGTCGCGGCTCCGCTGCTCCTCTCAAACACGCTCTCCTCCCGGTAGAATATCGCGCACTCCAGCTCGTCCTGCCGGTCGAAGGGCTTCTCCTCGTGGTTCCCCGTCTGGCTGTCGGATGAGTAGTGGTCCATGTGTTCGTCTTGGTCGTCGTCATCGTTAGAGAAAATGTAAGAGACGCCGATGCGCGGTCCTTCGTCGTCCGGGTCGAAGCCATTCGGGTCCGACGTTGGCACCTCTGCGTAATTTAAATGCGTAAGTTTCTCCACCTGGTTCCCCATAAGGGTGACAGGTGGATGAAGAGGGGGGGAATATGGAGCTGAACGCAGAAACTAGATCCACCTGTTCTTGACGCACACGCACTCTCATTCACCGGGGAGGAGACAGAGGGAGGCGCAGCGTCTTTTCACTAAATCCACCGCGGTGAGGACGGACACCAGTGATCCATGTCCAGCTGGAGACACAAACACCACCTGTAGAGAAACACAACACAGCAGCGGATGAAACTCTGACTCCAGGGCTCCACACTGAGAACTATCCACAAATCAAACTATTACGCGTAGTCGGCGTCCCCAACAGGTGCGACCAGACACACCTGTTGGCTCAGTTTCCACGGAACTCGCCATCTTGACTAGAGCTGAGTACTTTTTTTAAACACACTCTGAATTCTACTGCCAGACACCGTCCACACTTCAGCTGACATGTTGGTCTTCAAGTGTACAGAAGTATAATAAATGATCTGTGCGTTAATCCAGTGAAGTCAGCAGAAACACTCACCTGCAGCTCCCCACACTCTCCTGTGGTCACATCAGTACAGTCAATAAACAGCCTTTCTGCTCTGCTCCCTGTGTGTGTGTGTGTGCGTGTGTGCGTGTGCAGTACACACACTCTGTCTCTCTGTAGTGTGAGGCTCAGGGTGCGTTGCAGTGAAACTCATCCAGGATCGAGTGACTGCTGCTGGGAGGTGTTGCCATTTAAAGCGCCAGTGCGCCTTTTCCTGCCTCATTTACATGATTCAGTTTTCAGGAGAACCTGTCAATCAGGTCACACGTTTCTGTTGTAGCCTCCCTTTTGCATAGGTCCCTTTAGAAGTGTGTTACTATCTAATACTTTAATCTATATAATTTAATACTTATTCACAATATTATATTGTTTTGTTTCTACTTAATACTATTGTTTTATTCTGTTGTACTTTTGTGCTCACTGTACACTGGCAGCATGCTCTTCTTACATTCAGTTCTTCGACACTTGATGGTATTTACCTTAACACAGAGAAAGTTATGTTTTTATCAATATTTGAATTGATTAACAGCAGGATTACGCATAAAACAACTCAATGGATCAAGAAATCTGGTGGTGGGATGTGGTGTGGGTCAGGGAAGGACCCATTAAATGTTGGTGTGGATCCAGATCAGGGGCAGATACAGGATTCTTTTTTTATTTTTCCACTTTCTTTAACATTTATAAATTTTTACCAATTTCGCAGAGACAAATTCATGGATCTTGACTTTTAAAATCATATTTAGGGAGCTGATACGAATGAGTGTAAAATTTTGTGCAGCTTGGTTGAATTTAAGGGAAGTGTTGGACATTGGTGGAGGTATGTGCTCTGAGAGCCATCCTAGTTTTAGATGGAAATTGCACAAACCTGACTTTGGTTTAGGGTTGTAGTGAGAGATATAAACAGTGATGGTAAGAATTTATGAAATGCTCTTCTCCATTATTTTACTTATTAACATATTGACCTTTCCTACTGTGACATGTCAAAATGTTGCTGCCAAGAGAAAGACAGACTCCAAATCCATCAGTGTATGAGCACTGGAAGCTGATGCAGGATGATCATACAAAAAATTACAGCACATAGATGTTGAACATAGATGTTGAGTATTTTCTGGTATCACTCCCAGACTTAAGTCAACTCTGCTTGAGAAGAAATTGTTGTTTTGTTGAGATGTGAAACCAGAGAGAGAACCGTTTCCCTAACAACTCCGTCGAAGTGTGTCAACTCTGGAAGCAGCTCAAAGGGGCACTCTTTTTTTCCAATGAGAACAGTTTGGCTTTAGCCCTCGATAAAGGGAGAGAAAAATGTGACACCTGGATCAAACCAGAGTTCATGGTGCCAGTCGTGTCTGAGTCCCACTGATCTCCTCCTTCTCCGTACAGCTCCGACACAGCCTTGGCCTGGGGTCCTGTGCTAGAGAGTGGGACTGTGTTCACTTCCAGCAGGAGGTGAAATCCTCCTCGAACAAACCAGATAGTAACTCAGGCAGCCATTACACCTGCTCCTCAGAGCTTTTGAATGGATGAATGTGAATTCCACATCAAACATAAACACATCTATTCAGAATTGATTGGCTGTTTTTTCTCAGCATTGCATGTGTGTGCGATGCTGTGATTGAATTCCTGAGGATATTTACAGCTCTGCCTCCCTCCAAAGAAAGGGATTAATGGCTTTGACTGTGATATGGTGAATGTGTGTGTGTGTGTGCTATCCACAAATTGAACCTTGTTGTAAAATTACCTGTGACTTAACATATTGTGCAGGAAACAATATTAGTTTAACAAACTTGATTCAAATTGAACCAGAGTGGTGAAATGATTGACTCAACACTGGCTCGATCGTTTGTTGCCAGTTAATATCTTCATTGGCAAAATGCTCGTAGGGTTGTGTGACGCACTCCTTGGAGGGAGAGAGCAATTAAGACATTTTCCCCCCCTTATTTTAAATGCCTGATGCAAGGTTATTAAAAGATTAGCTTCACCTAGTTTCATCTCAACGCAGTCATTGTTTGTTTCTTTGGAACAAAGACCATTCAGAGAGAGCGGGAGCCGGCAGGAAGTGAGAGATTTCATCGCAGAAATTCATTCAAGCAAATGTTAATGAATAGTTAATTAGTTATCTGCAGATTAAAGGAAGTGTCTTACGTATATGCTCAGGAAGTTGAAAACTAGGATGGACACATGGACTTGTAATTGCCAGTGATGGTCACAACTATTAATAGAGAGAGCAGAGATTATAGCTCAATTTTTCTGTTCTGGTTGAGAAATTGTTTTTTTCTCGCCTTACCGACTTAAAACACTTTCACTCACACACATACTCATTCAGTGTCTTCATCTTTGACACATCTCTATCACACATCCTGCTCACACTGTGCCGGCATGGCCATCAGGGAGTTCAGGGTTTTGCCAAAGAACCAGAGGAGATGGGGATCGAACAACTGACCTCCTGAGCCACAGACATCCTGTTAATCCTATGTCCTTGTGCAGAGGCTGCTCCCTTGTGGTTCTGAAAAATTACTGCATTGTGCGCATCTGGAACAAAATTGCAATCTTATAATTAAAATTAATTACAAAAAATCTTCGACAGCATTATTATTATCAGAAACATTTGAATGTTTTATTAAATTAAACAAGTCTGGAGTATAAAACACTCCAGCTAAGACACAGAAAGCCATCAACTCTTTAAGAAAACTTTAACTGGTGGCTGGCTTGTATTGGTGTTTTCCTGAGGTACCGATCAAAAAAAAAAAAAAAAAAAGTACATTCTCTCAAACATTGATAAAATAGATTAAAAACGTAGGAAGTCTCGAAGGCATTTTATGATTGGTCCTCCTGCCACTACGTGCGGTTGCTGTGTCTCTTCTGGCTCTGGATCTTTCTCCTCAGTATCTGGTCAAGAATGAGGTCTGACTCTCTTACATCAGAGTTCCCGCAGCCCACCACCGGGCAGCTAGAGGACAGAGAGTGACAAAAACACTTAACATAGACAGAGCTCTATATATATTTACTTTTAGATGATGCATATTCAGTGGTCGAATACCTGGTTACCTTCGCTCTATATGTTTCTTTTTCCCCTCGTATTCTGATGAGTGTAACAGAAACACCTTCAAACAATAACCATGCTTTGGTGAGTGTTCAATCAAAGCTTTGATGCCCGTGAGGACTTGAATGATGATGTGCACTTCAGAGCTGCTATAATATGGAGATAGTAACGACTGATGAAATGCTGTTGACCTCCAGTCACTCACCTAATCAAGAAAAGCCCTCTTGGGTATAGCTGCTATAACTGTGCATGTAAAGTGTGCGCAGTGACCGCGGTCAGGGCTCAAGACAATAGGCAGGTTTCTTAAACAACAAAACAGACCAGCTCTGGGATTTCATCAGCGTTCCTCTAGGAGCAGCCACAGTTAATTTGACTCTAACATCAAAGCAGGATAATAAAGAAAGTATGAATTGAGGCAGAATGTTGGTCCCACGCCAGCTCGCTGCCGCCGCAAAACCTGACTCAACTTTCTAACAGTCCTCTAGGGGAGAGACAGTGTCTTACCGGCACTTCTTATTATTGCTGTGTTTTGTTTTGATCAGGCCCAGTATAGCTGCTTCATCATAGTGGTGGTTACACTTCTTATTCTTCACTGGGTTCACCATTTCCACCTTGAATACAGATACAGAGGGGTTATATAATGAAACACAGAGAGCAAAAACACAAAGACGGCGGTATATTCTCTCTTCTTTATGTGGGATTTAGAGATGTGGTTTTTAAAGAAAGTGTTGTAAAAGAATAAAAAGAAAAGAAAAACAGAAATCAGTCAAAATGGTCAAAATGGCATCAGCCGGCTGGAGTGGTGTACCTGTGTGAGTGGGCAGGTGAAGTTGACTTGGCTCTGTGTAACAGCGATGTCCTCATCCAGCTCCTCCATGCTCTCTGCTGACTCTTGGTTGGCTGAAAACACAACATGCATGCAAGTTTGTTTCCAAATGTCCTATCACAGTAATCAAACATGAACTGGATCGTTGGCGAGATGGCAGGAAAGGATGCGGCAGGTAAGGACGTGAGCTTGGAAGAATCTTCTATCTGCTAATTCCAGAATTTTCTGTCTGTATGTTGCTCACACATCTCAAGAACCATCTTATCACCTTTACACTTAACATGTGTAATGTTAAGACCAAATTTGACACTGCCTAAGAAAGTGCAGTGTCGAATTTGGTCATTCAATATTAATAATCAGGCAAACAGAGCTCTGAAGCAGCAACGGCTGGGACTCATCAACTCGAGTGACATTGATCTAACGACCGGCACTCACAACATTAGTGGCGACAAACGATTCTCCAGTTTGAGGTTTTGCGTACTGAGTTGAGTTTCCCAGTTTCAGAAAGAAAGTTGCAACCTACTACAGGCATGTTTAGAACGGGCACTGGACTACAATATGTAAATCAGCAACATCTCCTTCTGAGGTGGTATCAGATTCAGAGCAAACCCTGGATATGTTCAAACACCATACAAGATTAGTCAACACTAGTAAAACCTCACCCACTCACACATAAAGCATTGTCCTCTTTTTTGAACCCATTTATAATGTTCACAAGATCTATTGTTATTTTCTCTGTGCAGCTACTGACTCAAAGGTCAACCTGAGCCCAGGGTATTAAAGAAACTCTACATGCTGCCTCCTGAAATTGATCCAGGCCACAGAGCAATGACGCAGGCACAACTCAGCTCACAGATTTTGATCTAAGCCTTCAAGGGCAACATGGGAGCTTCAAAATATGCTCACCACAATGAGAACATGTAATAGTTTTGACACCGACTCACAATAATGATGTCTGATGAGTTTATCCTTCTTAAATACATTCAGCAGTTGCTTTCAGACATGCACTGATCTCTGCAGATCCTCCGTGTTTTTTGCATGTGTGAATGCAAATGTCAGAGTGAGAGTCTGCAGACTTTCTCCACCTGGCCCCCCGAGTATAAAGTCCATAGAAAGGGGATTTGTTGCTGTAGTGAATGTGTCAGAGAACCGCCCGCTGCGTCCTGCAAAGTCTGGACCCAATTCTCCGGACTTTACCGACAGGTCATGTCTGAAAAGGCTTCTGTAAGATCTCACTTCAGTTTTCTCACATTTTTTAATCGGTAATCTAATGCAACTGAGTGAGCTTAGGGAAATTTACATGAGCGCAGCAGCAATTTCACTAAGTCTCTACAGAAGACAGAAAAAGTCTGTGTGAGGCCGCGCTTTTAATAAGGAGAATAACGAGGACAACAATTAAAGAGCAGAGAACAATAGCCACAGGGTGACAGGCAAACATAATTATTCAACAGTAAATGGAGTGAGCTGGGCATTTAAAATGAAGCTAATTATCCTGAAAACAATATACATCCCTAGATTTCTCTCTCTTGTTGGCTGAGAAGCTCTCCTGCAAGCACAGCAGCGATCATCAAAGTCTGTTATTAATCCTAAATCCACTGCACACAAGTGCCAGAAATTCAGAGTATTGTTCCCGACTTTCTTCCCTCTGTTGCAGAACTCTCCACAAGCAGAGGCTGTCTTCCAAAAAGAAGAAGAAAGCTGTCTTTATGTAGTCGGAATGATTATATTATTAACTGTTTGGTTGGTTTTTTGTCCAGTGGAAAAGGGGGTTTTGCAGTTGGTCAGGCAAAGTCTTGTAAACCTATCTACTGTCTGAAACAAACCAAATGTGATGAATGGAATTTCCTGCTGTAATATTTATGATTCAAGATGAGTATTTTTTTGCAACTTGTTTAGCTTCTGATTGAGTTTGTTCTGGCTCTGAGAGCAACAATGTTCATTCTTGATTTTCTATTTTGTCTTTACAATAATTCACTACAACTTTAGGATAATTGTATATGATGGAAAAGTGACGTTCACGTGCATTAGAGACACATGAATTTGGGGTTTACGTGCTTTGGGCATGCCCCCAAACCCCTCCCCCTTACACCATATCCTGGTGTAAAGGCCTCACCTGAGTTGAGCGAGTTCTTGATGCTTTCCTTGAAGGCCACCACTTTCTGGTGGCGGTGCAGATCAGCATCGGAGAGTCTGGCCATTCTCTCAGTGAACTGCTCCTTCACTTTGGCAGACAGGTTGAACATGGCCTCTGGCTGCTGCGTGGCAACCTACAGTATTGAAATATGTTACATTCTTTCCTTGACCTTTACAATTACAGCAGTTTTTCCTGGTGTTTAAGACTTGCATCTTGGGACCATTCTATAAAATCAAAGTTCTAAATTACCTTCCATGAATTCAATCCTCTTTTTATTAATTTATTAACTAAGTACATCTTTCAGGAATACATACCTAACTGTACATGTTCATTTAGTATAGCGGTAAACATGTTTTCCAGCCATGTAATTAGTCCATGCCCAGTCACTCCTCACCTCTCCTGTGACTTGTTGCACAACATCAACAAAGTAGTTAATCTCTCTGTCCAGCTTGGCACACTCCAGAATCATGGCCTCCATCTCTTTAACACCCGGATTCACCTCTCCATCTGGATCACAGGAGCAAACACACAGGTGGAGAAAACCTTGAAGTACTTAGGTGAACTCTTGTTCTTATGAAAATACAGAGATATAAGTAACAGATGTGGTAAAAGTACAAGTATTCATGATGCAGAAGGGGGCCTGCAGGTCTTACTTCAAGAATTTGATTGTATGTATGAATGTATGTATGTATTAGTAGTTTATTTATTTGATAGGGAGAATTATCATAAGTCAACAGACAACACTGTAAATGAGCCAGTTAGCTGCTAATGTTCATGTTTCTGAAATAAAATACAATTACTTACATAATCACAATCTATGTATTATTAATGTGCATCACACATACCATCTAAAGTAACTGTACAACCTCCTGATTGTTTGAACTCAACAGCAGTTTTATTATGCCAACATATAACGGACTCACGACAGAGGCAGATCAGCAGCACAGCTTAAAAAGACTAGTTACCCTGAGCCTCCGCCAGGTCCATGGCCACATCCGTCACTATGTCCATCCCTGTCCCGATGTCTGTCTGACATGACTTCAGAGTCGTCAGTGTCGCGTGAACTGAGCTCAGAGACATGACAATGAATCCTCCACCACTGACACAACCTAAACCTGAGCTAGCATCACGTTAGCCTGGCTTGCTAGCGTCACCTACTGCTCCTCTGGTTAGCTTAGCCACAAAGCTAACGCGCTGCTGTTTTTTCCCCTATGTGAAGCAGCGCTGTATTAACACGTGTTACTGTGTGATGTCATGATATTATTAGAACAACGGGTTAAAGGTAAAATAAGAAAACAAGACAAATCACCCGCGGAAATTCAATTCGCTTCCGCCTTCGCTAAGTTCCGACTTCCGGGTTTATCTTTTCAAAGTAAAACGAGCAAATCATCAACAGAGGAGAAATACAGCAACAAGTTATGAACTATAATATTTATTAATTAATTTCATTTGGAAATGGCACAAAGTGATAATAAACACAGTTGGGGAGTTAATTGATAAATTCAATGTTTTATGTACAATCTCTTATTAGTGCATTAAGACATCTATGATCAAAAATAAGAAATAATTCAATAGGTCTGTATCAGAGAAGACAATCAGGCATTTTGTGGTAAAAAAAGTGGTGTAAATAACAACACTCTTAATGGCTAACATTGTGCAGATACCAGCTCCTACAGTGCAATGGTTCACTAGAAGAGAACCATCTCATGTTATTAGTAATACTGCTTTTCATTTTACTATGACTAGTCAGACTGATCCTGTGGAACAAAAGCCTTTGGCAGCATCGTTTTCTGATGAAGGGTTTATCCAGATCTTCACAGTACTGTTCTGAACTCATCAAAAATGAAACTGGGCACATGAGCTTCAGCCACCTAAGGAACACAGAGAAAATAAAGTGAGATACACCTTTCAATGAAAATGCAAATCAAAAATGATGAACAATATTACACTTAAGTATATACCAATACATATTTTTGATATATTATTCAAACATGTCATTAGAAATCAAAGCCCAGGCTTCCCTCCCACCCCAGGCTATTACAAATTATAATATATATATAAATATACACTGAAAAAAGAGATAAATAGACAGAGAGAGAGAGAGAGAGAGAGAGAAATAGTTAGATAGAGCGTCACACACACACACACACACACACACACACACACACACACACAGCATTGTGAAAGGGAAAGCCAACCTACCTTGCGAGACAGTTTTGTGTACTTCACATAGTCTTCCAGGAACATCAGGGCTCCCACCACATCAGAGGGCATGTCAGGGATTTTCTGACTATAATGGAAATTCAAATGTAAGTTCATAAAGTTATGATGGGATACATAATTGCCATCATAACTGCATTCGGGTCAAGCAAGCAATCATTCAAAATAAATATTTATGGTTAAATCAATACAAAAGAAAGTGTTAAAATATGTATCATATATTCCAAAGTCTCTTGCGCTACCTTGTGCACTGCTCCATGATTGAGCGGACGAACTGACCAATGAGAGCCAAGAACTGCTGTGTGTATCTTGAGTGGAACTGCTTAAGAAGGGTGAGCAGGCCGAGCACCAGCGGAGGCCAGTCGACCGGGTCTGTGGCTTTCCTACATGTCATTCCTGGGAAAATACAAGACATAAGTCGCGTGGATATGTAGTGACATCCTGCATTTCCCAGAATAATCCTCAATGTGTGCCAGGTATGGTGAGTAGCCTATCCAATTAGAAACCATGTTCAAGCCAATTATAGCTGTTACATCATGTGGGTGATGAGGTCCAGAATGACTCTCACATAAACAAATACATGAAGGGGAAGCAGAGCTAGTCAATTTACTTTCTAAAAAATACAAATTATATCTTGATGGATGAAGAGAACTAGAACATTAATGTTCTCTAAATCATAAATCATTCTCAGGTACTATTTTACCTGTTACACTAATATATGTAGGACTTAATTACTCATCAACTTTATTAGCCTGATAAGAGCTGAGAAAACTGACAAAAACAACTTACCTTGGTTTTTGCTGTACTGAAGTTTAGGCAGCTGAGCAATAATAAACAGGAAGTTGATGATGGGAAAGTAAGGTAGGCGCTTGGTGGTGATGTAGATCTATGAGCAAAATGAACAGGAAAGAAATGGTCAGAACACAAACAGAAAACAGACTGAGAGAGTGCAGATGACAAACACAGGTATGCTGTGGTTTCTCAAATATGTGGAAGTGTGGGAATCTACGCACCTTGTTGAGCGGGTTGTGAATGCCGGCAGCCTCCAGGGAGGCCGTGATCTCGTACAGAAGAGTGTTCTCCTCTTTTGGGTATGGCAAGGATGGGTCCTGGTAGTGAGCTTCGATGTCGGCCAGCAGAGACCTGGAAAAGTCCAAACCAGAGTGAGCATTCAGCAAAAGAACAAAAAGGGGCCATAAATATGTCAGATTTTTTAATAGAGAATTAATTATTATCTGAGAAATTGGAAAATCTCCTATCACAATGGGATAAAAAGTGAAAAGAATTCTTCAATCTTTCCCTTTTTCAGAGTAGCACCAAAATTGTATGGATTGTTTCCTGGCCCATACCACATCATTCCTCCAAGTTTAATGATTATTTGTCCAGTATTTTTTGTATAATCTCGCTAACTAACAGACAAACAAAGTGAAAAATCACATGTTTTTCTTTAAAAACAAAGAGTAAGGACATTAACATTAACTCATCAATACAGTACTACAACTTGGTAAAACAAATAAATATTAATCAAACATTTATATACTCAATTAAATACACATATCATGTATCATCTAGATGTTATAAATCATAACTAACATTTAGGAGCCACAAACTACACTACAGTATCTTTACATGGCACTTATACAAAGCAACATCTTCCACTCAACACTAACCAGAACAACTATATTGTAGCCCAGTTCCAGAGATATAATTGTAATGATTTGCACTTTATTTTGAGAGTAGACTGACTTGTTGAGGTTCTCCAGGGCAGCAGCCAGGTGTTTGGAGTCAAACTTGCACGAGTAGTTAAGCTCATTAGCGATCTGCTGTCTGAGAATCTGCATCTGACCAACCTGTAACAAACAGCAGCATTTTAAATATATTTATTTATAGCTCAACAAAAAACAGAGTCATTTACGATTATTTTTCTGCGCAGAGAGAAATACATGGGGCAGTACCTTCATGATGGCTTCCAGGTATGCGCCCCAGATCTTCTGTGTTTTGGCCACAGCGCTGGTGTATACTTTGCTGGCATTAGCTATGGCAGAAGAAAAAGCAAGTCAAAATTTTTCAAGAAGTAAAAAGATCCTGGGTGGTAGAAGGATTTTTTATAACGAATACCTACCCACAATTCCCTGAACTGGGTTGACAGCACTCAGCATTGCTTTCAAGACATCCAGCACTGCTTTGTCCTTCAGGATGGTCTTCTGAAGCATTGTCAGGAAGTTCTGATGGAAATAAACAGGTTGCCAATTATAATATTCCAGCAGACACACCGTACTGTATACACACTGACGACAGGGTTTCACAGACTGAGATTTGATTATTATTTCAATGAGAGTCTGGTGGTAGCTTGGTCTCACAGCCTGAGATACAGTATATTGTTCATGGGCTAATTACCTGCAGCTCCTTGACGATCATGAAGCAGAGCAGACGGTCCAGTCCGTTCAGGCCAAAGGTTCCCAGAGTGTTCTGGATTTCAGAGAACAGCCTGTTGTTGGTCACCTCCTGGTGGCTCTTCAGGTCGTACCAGGTGTTCATCTGGTCAATGTAGCAAGTTACCCTGTGGAAAGGACGCATGTTTCTCTGTGAGCTCATGAATACTGCTAGATTCATCTACAAATATGATCAATGCCTCATCAAATCTTAATCTTCAGATTAAAGCCCAGCTGTTCTGAGACAAAAGACAGTTTCAAAACAAGTTCAATAGAGACGTACTTGGGATCAGTGATTCGGAGGATTTCTCTGCAGAGACGACCGATGAAGGTGGCAGACTCATCCACAGAGGGAAACTTGGGGATGGGGATGTGGGTGGACTGGTGCACACTCTGCCAGTCCTGGATCTGATTGGAGCAAGGAAAGAACCAATCAATCAATCAATCAATCAATCAAGCCCTATTTCTGACTAGAAGGATGTGATCGTAGAATGTTAATTGGTTAGTTAATTCTTTTAATGCCTGACCTTGGTCCTGAGGAAGCTGTTGCACTCCTGCTCCACATTGTAGTTGATGATGCGTGACACTTCCTCCTGCCAGATTTTAAGGCCATAAATGCTGACATAGTCTTGGATGTACTCAAACGACCTGTAGAACCCGTCCATGGTGGCCGCCATGTCCTTCAACTTGGGCATCAGCTCACTGGTCTGAGAGAGGGGAATATTGTATATTTGTTCAGTTCATCCTTCAACACTTCACTGTAACTTTTCAGTACAATAAACTGTAAAATATAACCATTAAAATAATCAGTGGATCTGATGGCTGACCTTAGCCTTGGGGTTGAAGATCAATCCTTTGTGCAGGGCATAGGCCACCCTCTTCACCAGCTCCTTCCTGATGCCATCCTCCAGAAGCTGCTTAGGATCCACCTGAAGCATTACAGTGTGTTAGAAAAATAAAATCCAATATGGTAACCTATTTTTGGACCACACTCTGACTGATGTGCGCACCAGATGTCTGCCTGAAGGTTGGAACAAGGGCAAATACATTTTAATATTATGCCAACAAGCAAAGAGTAAAGGGAGCAAACATATTAAAACTAAATAACATCTATAACGATATAAATGATAAATATATCATTTACCTTAATGATCCCAACAAGAGTGGTCTTCATCATCAGGATGCCCTCAGTGAAAATGGAGATGTCATGGGTGAATTTAGCCACCTGTCATCACATGAAGCAGAGGCATGTTCAAGCACACAAATGTGAATCGTCCAAATGTCAAGTTTCAGGATCGCTGAAGGAGGAATATTCTACATTGATACAATATTATGACATAAATGATTCATACAATTACAGTGCATGAGTGAATTAATAGGACTTTGCCATTCTTTTATGTTTAGAAATTGAAATTCTAGTCAAAATTAAATCTTAAGTGTAACATTCACATTCAATTAAAATTAATCCTTTAGAATATCAGCCTGACCAATTCTATTTCATGTAATTTAAATGTGTTTATGCAACATAATCTGTTTCTATATCAATCTGTCTTCTCCAATTTGTTTTTCACATCAAAAGCTCTGCGAGATTGAAAAATGTTCAGAAACTAGTGATTGCCTCTGACTCACACACAGCAGATGAGTCGACATCAAAACAGGAAAACTTCAGGCCTCTCATACAATCATTACTAAATGTGTATAAGATCTAAGGAA